TCGGCCCCTGGGAGAGCACGGACATGGAAGGGTCTTCCACAGGGTCCGGCACAAAGAGCACAGAACTGGCGAGAGCCACCACGAAGAAATCAGAGCTCGTGGGGGGCACAAAGGCTGAGGTCTGTCCCTGGGAGAGCCCGGGCATGGAGCAGCCCCCACCAAAACCCCGTGCTGGGAGCTCCACACTGCCCAAATCACCTTCAAAGAAATCCCAGAGTGCGGAGAGCCTGAAGGCTGAGATCTGTCCTTGGGAGGCTCCAGAGATCGAAGCTGGTGGTAAAGCAGAAATCTGCCCCTGGGAGGTGGCTGCTTCTCTGCCAGGGAAAGGAGCAGCCCCAGGGAAGAGTCTCCCACCGAAAGAAGTGGGTGTCTCCAAAGCATTGGAGAAGAGGAGCAGCGAGCGCGAGGCCATCTGCCCCTGGGAGAGCCTGGGCACGGAGGAGCCCTCCCTCAGAACCACGATGGGGAAAGAGCCCTCCAAGAAATCCGACAGCACGGACAGCAGGAAATCCGATATTTGCCCCTGGGAAGCAGCAGAGCCCACGGGTTTGGAGAAGGAAAGCTCCAAACCAGGCATGCGCCCACAGGGAGCTGATGGAGCATCCCCCATGGGGACGGGAAAGTCAAAGCCGTTGGTAGGAGCCAGTTCCGTGTCTCCAACAGCTCCGTTGAAAAAATCCAAGGGCAGATCTGACAGTGAGGCTGAGCACAAGCCCCTGTGCCGCATCCTGCCGGGCACCCAGCACCCCCAGGGCCCCAGGGCAGAGCCTCTGTCCCGGGGAGCGAGCACAGCTCCCGCAGCGGGCAGCAGCCCCAGCCCTGGCACCAGCGTAGCCGAGGTTTGTCCCTGGGAAGCAGAAGAGGCTCCACCAGCCCCTGACAAGACCAGCACGGACACGAAGAAAACCTCTGAAGTGTGTCCGTGGGAGGTGGAGAGTGTGGATCCCACTCCGACCCTCCGTGGGCAGGGCAGAGCTGGGGCGAGCCCCCAGGACAGAGGCAGGGATGCGAGTGAACCCAAAACCGACGTCTGCCCGTGGGACCACGAGTAGCTCTGTCCGTCTGCCCACCGGCTGGGCACAGACACAGCTGTCATGAACGGGAAGTCTTGAGCTGAAGGCTGCTGCCCACCTGCACAGCCCCGATGGGGACAGGAGCGTCCACCAAAGCCAACGGCACGGCCACGCTCCCAGTGGTGGCCATCGACCAGCCAGGCTTGGGGACCAGCACAGCGAGGGGACAGTTAACATCTCCTGCCTTCATGGAAGCACTCGAGCTGCAACCACCACCCGTCACTTACCCACGGGCACCTGGCCCAGCGCAGGGCAACCTTGGTCCAAATGGGACACCTGGATACGTTAAACCACCGGCAGTGCTGGCCTCGCTCGCTTCCACCAACACAGCAGGCACAAAGCTGTGGCTGGCCAGCTAGAGACCCTCACCCACAAGTTCTCCAACAACTGAACGTCCTCCTGCGGCCTGGGGAGGTTTGTGCCTCCAGCACAGCGAGAACCAGCCCACGTGCACCCCGAAATACAGTCCCACAGCCTCAGCAAGCTGGACACCAAAACAAGGGGAGAGGCAAACCAGAGGCAGCAACGGTGCAACTGGGAGGAAGAGGCTTTCCAGAGCTCCTGCTGCCCAGCAGATCTCCCTGCTGTGCTGTTTCCTCCATTTTAAGCCAGGGGGGGTTCTGTAAGCTCTGCCAGGACCAGGCAGGTTCCGCAGCCTGGGATGAAGACCTGTTGTTCCCAGCCAGCCCAACGACACGTTTTGCTTCTTTTGACACAAAGTCCTTTATTTTTAAACATCCTCTGAAGCCACCGAACCAGCCACAGGACTTCCACGCACGCCACGTAGAACTTCCTGCTCTGATTTGATCCAGCGATGCCAGCCCCGTGCTCAACACCGCACTTGGGCGATGCCAACCTCTCTCTGCTCCCAGATGCCTTTGCCTATTGCTCAGCCTGGGTGGGATAAAACCAACCTTCAGGCCACCGCCCTGCTCTGCTTTTAGAAACCTCCGCATCCATGAAGGCTGAGATGGGTATTCCCGCTGCTAACCTCCTCCCTCACTAACTTTATGGCACTGCTACACCTGGAATTCTTGCAGCAACTCGGCCGTAAAGTTGTTTGTCTTAATTAACAATGCCACTAATTCTTCAAAGCACTTTGTCGTTACTGGTTTCTTCTTCACTCAGACCGCGTGCACGCGTGTGTACATTCACCATGGGTGCAAACACGCCCAGGGCTCACCTTCCCATCACAGGAGATGTTGCCCATCACCATGCCCACCGGCACTAGCAAGCCTTCACTTCTACAGCCCATCTGTAGAAGCGCTGGTTGCCTTTTGGCATCCCACATCTCACCTTCTCTCTGCATTCACAAGATCCTTTCTTCTGGGGCGGAGATGCCAACGGGACTCCTGTATGACAGAGAAGATGCTGAGATCATGGGGGCACTACGATCTCCAGAGCACCAGACAGAGCTCTGGGGTTGACCATTATTCCAGCCCACCCACTCACAAACGTACGAGGGAAGGGACGCGGCCATACACATGGGAAGAAGCCTTAGAGTCAGGAAGGCAGCAGATGGGAAACAAGAAAACCTCTGGTCTCCCCAGATTTGTCCCCCTCCTCCACTTAGATGGAAGCAAATAAAACCAGAGACAGCAGAAGCGAAGGTTTCGGTTCTCCCTCTGATCTCCACACAAGGATGGGGCTCAGGGCCTGATGTTCCTTGGTCATTTACTTCTGCTATCCTTAGAAAGTGGCGTTGCTGTCGTGTGCCGTCCGTGGTCTTCAGCGCCGAGCGTCTGACGATCATCCAGTTGTGTAAATTAGTGTACACACAGAAAATAAACAGTATTGTCTACAGAGCGCACCGGTGGCTGATTTATGGGGCACGGGTAAGGTCCTAAATATGCTCAGGGAAGAGGTGCAACGGAACGCAGTGAGGCTGTAATCCGGGGTGATCTTATTGCAGCCTTCCAGTACTCAAAGGGGGCCTACAGGAAAGCTGGAGAGGGGCTTTGGATAAGGGTGTGTAGCAACAGGACACAGGGCAATGGCTTTAAACTGAGAGAGGGGAGATTTAGATTGGATGTAAGGAAGAAATTCTTTCCTCTGAGGGTGCTGAGGCACTGGCACAGGTTGCCCAGAGAAGCTGTGGCTGCCCCATCCCTGGAAGTGTTCAAGGCCAGGCTGGATGGGGCTTTGGGCAACCTGGTGTAGTGGAGGGTGTCCCTGCCCATGGCAGGGGGGTTGGAACTGGATGATCTTTGAGGTCCCCTCCAACCCAAACCATTCCGTGATTCTATGTAAAAGAAAACCAGGAACAGAAGACATTTAGTTGCAGAGGTTTGAATATTGGCAAAGGAGACACTGCTGGGCTGGAAGGAAAGGCCATTCTCACAGAAACGCCAGCCACTCCACCAGAAAACCTGCTCTTTTCATCCCGAGCCAGAGCTGAAGAGCCTTGTCTGTAGGTCTTGGTTGAGGAGCACGTCCACACCTGCTTGCAAGCTGCCCGAGTCACACCAAGGACAAACCACGTGGCTCACACCAATTTATTTTAGCTCCTGGCCCAGCTCACACACACTGGAGCTCTGAATCGCTCTCCAGCTCATGAATGAAGCGTAGGCAGAAGGCTCCATATAGCAGGTTCTTTCAGGAAAGACAGGCAGATTGTGACAGCGCTCTGAATTCCAAAAAGATGAAAGGGATTCCATCGCCGGCTCCTCTCCTAACAGAGTATAAAGATGATATTCTGCCCTTTCAAAAGAACATCATTCACAAGAAACACTCCACAACTCTGTAAGCATAAGGAGTCATAACTCTCACTGCATACCCTGGAAAAGCTCTTTCAAGGAAGCAGAAATGACAAGCTCTGGAAAACGGCCGAGTTAAAAAGCAAGACAAGGTTGAAAAAGAGAATGCTTGATGACTAGTGAACATTTTGCTCTGTGACTAGGAGTAAATGGAACTTACCTGAGCAAAACAGAGCAAGGACAGATCAGGAGTGCGCTGGCTTACTCCCAACAACGGGAAAAGCTCACCTCTGGGAATGTTTTCCCGACCCACGGAGCCTGCAAACGCTGCTGCCAATGTCGTCATGTCCACAGGATGGTGCCAGCCACTCACTAACACCACCCGTCTGCAACAGACACACCAACACCCAGCAGCTGTGAGAAACGCGGCCTCGGTTGACACAAACACTCATCTTGGGAGTCAAAACATTTTATTAAATTAGCAAAGCTGTGCTGCAGCCCCTTCGAGAAGCTTGGCCGTCCACAAGCACCCATGCAGCAGGAGTCCAACTGCAGTGCCCACCCAGGAGAGCTTGATTTAAAGTGTGCTTTCTGCTCTTCCCTGTTTTCTGTTTAAAAAAGAAGCCTGGGAATCAGTACAGAGAGGAAAAGAGGATGGGAAAAGAAAGGACCAACACCTGCTGCTGCAAGTTTTAATGAAAGCCCACCAGGTCTATGACACTTCCCATGGAAGTGCCAAATGCCCCGTGTCTGGACAGGCTCCTGCTGCCAGGGGCTCTCATGGCAGCCTGGAGTGCGGTCCTGAAGAGGACAGACTTCTCATCTTCACAGAAACAGCGAGGGTTAAGCTGCAGCACAAGTCTGCTTGGACAGAGTAAAGCTCTTCTCAGAGCTCATCTGAATCTCCCTCCCAGGGCCCTCTTGCTCCTTTGAAGACAACTTCTTAGTGACTGGAGTCCGTTTCTGAAGCCGCTTTGTTTTTCGACTGCTCACTGGAAAGGCACAGCCACATCCGACCCACTACCTCCACAGACACTCTCCACTTCTTCCCTCCTGGGTGGTTTGCAGCACTGCTGTCTCTGTACAGGCTCTGGAACTTCCTACTTCATTTCTTCATACTCTTGTGAGGGATCCAAGGTTGGGCCAGGAATCATCACCGTCTGAAAAAGCAAGGAACAAAATCGGCATGACGCAGAGCAGCTCTGAACAAGGAATTCTTGCCACAGAGCACGAGAAAGGGGGAGCAGGAGGTTCCCGCAACACCAAGGCCTTGCACAGGAAGGCGACCGCCTAGAAGAAGCACGAGGGAGGACGCAGAGGGGGAATGGAATGACACGCCTTGGACTACACTGTAGTTCTCGCCTCCTCCTTCTCGAGGACCTGTTTTTGTTAAACAGGAAGACAGAGCACCTGCATCACTTTGCCAGGCGATGTACAGGGACCAGTAACCCCCTGAATTATCACCCAGGTGTCAAATGCCCTCAGCCTCCTATTACAGCTTCCACGGGCTAGAGGCCGATAACGCCACGTTAACAGAATCATGGAATGGTTTGGGTTGGAAGGGACCTCAAAGATCATCCAGTTCCAACCCCCTGCCATGGGCAGGGACACTCTCCACTACACCAGGTTGCCCAAAGCCTCATCCAGCCTGGCCTTGAACACTTCCAGGGATGGGGCAGCCACAGCTTCTCTGGGCAACCTGTGCCAGCACCTCAGCACCCTCAGAGGGAAGAATTTCTTCCTTAGATCTAATCTAAATCTGCCCTCTTTCAGTTTAAAGCCATTGCCCCGTGTCCTGTCGCTACACACCCTTGTCCAAAGCCCCTCTCCAGCTTTCCTGTAGGCCCCCTTTGAGTACTGGAAGGCTGCAATAAGATCACCCCGGAGCCTTCTCTTCTCCAGGCTGAACAATAGAATCATAGAATGAATAATAAATAGGTCTTCTTGCATATTTATCCACCCCCTTCCCATTACAGGAAGCTCAGCTTTGCTTTTGTCCAAAATTAACTAGGAATCTACGTTTCACAGACAAAGGCCGTGCTGGTGCCTTCTCCTGGTGGCATTACCTTAACTATGGGGTCCTTCGGCGGAGCCCACTCTGGGACAATCTTGCCATGCATCCTCCATGTGCCATATGGGTTGACTAAGTACTTCTCAAACACGACATACTCCAAAACATCCTTGGGCACCTGCTCCCCACCGTACATCAGCCGCCCAAAACGGTCATAGATCGCCAGAGTCTGTAAAAAGAATTGAGGAAAACAGGCTGGGCTGGCAGCAGGCTGGATCGGGAAACGCCAGGGGCACACGGGGAGGTACCTGTCGTGTGTGCATCCGCACTGTCACCTGGCCATACAGGTTGCCTCGATTCACAAAGCTGTCACACCGCATGTGAACCACTCTTGGAGGCTCCAGCGACTCCACAAAACTCCACCGGATGGTCTTGTACCTGTTCCCACGGACCATTTCCTATGGAGAAAAAAAACAAGCACCAACTTCACTAGGATGTGAATTGGATGACAAGCAAACTGCTACATATAACGAAGCTTTATTCATTAGCTATTTCTTAGACTTGTGCTTTCCCTTCCCACTCTGTCTTTGTTGTATCCAGAAAAAATGAGACAGGTGATCAGGTTTAGAGAGCCTCAGAGACCACAGAAGAAATCAAGGACATGCTACATCCAGACAAACACTTACCGGGTAACAGCGCTCTGTCACCAGGGAGTGAAGTTTCTGCTTGTTAAAACTGCAAGTGAAACACACCCAGTTACTCAAACACACGTATTGTAAAGAGGCTTACTCCCAAATCCCTGCTTCTCCAGAAGACACACGACATACTGGCAGAACAGAAAAAGCAAAATTCTCAGCTGTGATCTCAGCGCAAAAATCAGGATGTGAACGCAAGCTGGTTGACAAGACTTCAGGGAAAGACACAACGACATCCTTTGGAAACCAGTTACAACCTAAGTGTTTCAGTGATGTCTGGAATGGTAACCCAGACTGATGCAGTTTCAAAAATCTGTTCTATTACTGGAAAGCGGAGCAAGCCAGCGGAGCATCGTTTCATATCCAAACAATTCCCTGCAGCGCCATCCCGAACAGCACCAACCACCCACTCATCTGCTGGTAAGACGAGTGGTGCAACAGCTCATTTCTTTTGCAGGTCAGGTCAAGATGAATCTTCTGCAACCTGCTTTTCATTAGCAAAAGCAAGAGGGTACTGACCAAATCTCCAATGCCCTACTCTTCACAGAGATGGGGCAAAAAAAGATGAAGTATTTGCTGCAGAGAAGGTGCAAGGATTAGAAAGACAAGGAAGAAAAACGGAGCATGTAAGTAAAGAGAAGCAGGTCCTACACAACCACATCAGGCAGAGGAGGGGTCTTACTTTGCCAGGGAATTGTGAGCTTCAATAAATATCTCCTGCGCCTTCTCTGGGAAGGTTTTAGTGCTGAAATCCAGATCATGATCTTTTATCTTCCGCAGACTGAAAAGACAAGGAAAGCTTTACAGTAAGTAAAGAACAACTTGGAAGCACCTCACATGTTTCAGATGATGACAACGAACTTATCCAGCTCAAGTCCAGCTTTTACCAACAAGAACTGGAGACTCCCCACTGAGACACAACCTTTAGGTGCTGGGAAGACAAGTTTACTGCTGCAAACCCAAAGAATCCTCAAAAAAAAGAGTGCACGCTGCATCCATTCACAGCAGGATAGGTGCCCTGTGTCCGTTCTCACTCCAGAGACTCCTGGTGAGGTGGTACAACAGCAACAGTGGAAGAAGCAGGTAGAAAACAAAAGCACCATCTCACCACTGCAAGACAGAACCCAGCAAAGCTTCTGCACCACAGACTGATTAGAAAGGAGGTACGTACGCCAGCTGGGAGACAGCAGTCTGCTTCGCCTTCTCCATCTTCTGCTTCAGCCCATCTTTCGACAGGGAAGTCAAGCGGGCATCACCCTCAGGAGGAATGTAAGGGTCTATAATATCAGCTGCAGGAGAGAGAAGGAAGGTCACGAGGAGGCTCCAAAACAGCAAAACGAAGGAAACAGAGGCAGCATCCTGGCTGCCGGGGGCTGGAGAAGCCGGATTCTACCCGATAATGTTTGCGAGATGAAACACGAGCACGCAATTCAGCAGCGACAGGTGCCTACTCCCTGCTCTCCTCTTCCATACAGCCCCAGGACAGGAGGGCAAGACACATTCCGCAGCAGGGCACACAACCTCCCTTGCTATTCCCTGACCCTACGAGGGGGCCAACAGCTTGACACCCGCCCGAGGCGAAGCAGGGCGGCTGCTACACCTCACCAGGAGGCAGAGCACCTAACCCAGTCCGTTGCAGGCGGTCACACCGCTTCGGCTAACTGCTCACGCTATTCCGCATGAGTTTTGCCCCTGAAAGAGATGGAAGCAGGCTTTCTACCACCTGTGCAAGCCAAGTAGAAGGTCCGTTCCACACGATCCTCAGGAAATATCGTCCCCAAAGACCTGAGCCTCTTCTCCTTCTCTTCAGGGGACAGCTCTCTGGCCCACTCGGGGACAGAGTGCCTCTTCTTCGTTCTCACCGGGACAAGACAGGCCGAAGGCGCTCCGGCAGGACGGAGTACGGACTCCGCGGTCTAAGGAATCACAGAATCACAGAATGTCAGGGATTGGAAGGGACCTCAAAGGATCATCTAGTCCGAGCCCCCTGCTGGAGCAGGACCACCCAGATCAGATCCCACAAGAACACATCCAGGCAGGTTTGGAACATCTCCAGAGAAGGAGACTCCACAACCTCTCTGGGCAGCCTGTTCCAGTGCTCTGTTACCCTTACTGGGAAGAAGTTCTTCCTCATGTTTAAGCAGAACCTCCTATGTTCCAGCTTAGATCTATTTCCCTTGTCCTATCATTGGATGCCACTGAGAAGAGCCTGGCTCCATCCTCAGGAAGAGAAATAACAAAGCCAGCGTCAGCCTAAGTGCCGAGAAACACGGCCGGCATCTTCACGGATTCCCCTTCGCGCCTCCCAAACACAGAGCAGCTGGAAACACAGCGACCACCCC